TCCTTGCTTTTTCCCTTCTAAGGTTATAAGTTCTGGTATTCTCTCTTTCTACCTTACTAATTTGTGTCCTGGCACCTTCTCGGATCTTCTCTCTGGCTTCGTTAAATTCCTCTCCCTCTTTGTATCTGTACAAGATATCGTTTTTTAAAAAATAATCGTCGTAGTTTTGATCTAATTCTAGAATTTTGGTGATTATGTTTAAGTGTTCATCACCTCTTTGCGCGTTTCGGATCCTTTTAACTAACGCATCATCCACAAGAGTTTCTTGCATTAACATCGTCATTGGGTTCCTACTAAGGGCATCCACGTGTGGCATTCGACATCCTTTTCGATGCTCTATTTCGTATGAATATTCTTCCAAAAGTAACGCCCATCTAGCCACTCTAGTAGTTAAATCCCTTTTATCCATCGTCTTTTGAAATGCAAGGCAATCCGTAACAATCTTGAATTTAGCGCCCAGCAGGTAAATTCTAAACTTCTTGATAGCTTGAATAATCGCAAGAACTTCTAACTCGTAGCTGGAATACTTTTCCTCGGCTGGTGTGGTTTTTTTGCTCATATAAAAAATCGGATGTAAACGGTGGTCCGTGTTTGCTCGTTGCAATAGACAAGCACCGTAACCATATCGGCTAGCGTCGGTATGTAGTTCTAAATCAAGTCCTGGTTGATAAATGTGTAACACCGGTTCGCTACAGAGTAATTCTTTTAACCTGCCGAACGAAACTTTCTGCGGTTCGTCAAAAATAAATGGCTGATCCTTCCTTAATAGGTCACTTAATGGCTTAGCTATCAATGCGTAAGAAGATATGAATTTTCTAAAGTATCCTGTCAATCCCAGGAACGACTGGATTTGTTTCAACGTTTTTGGTTCAGGATATCTCCTGATAGCTGAACTTTTTTCCTCCGAGGGTTGTATGCTTCCGTCTTCTACTATGAATCCTAAAAAATTCACTCTTTTCTTTAGAAACTGACACTTCTTAATCTTAATTTCTAATCCATAATCTTTTGCTAACTCAAGCACTATTTGGAGTCTTTCGAGTCCTTCCTCTTCATTACTGCTTGGGATTATAATATCGTCCATATAAAATATTACAATATTCTTTGTCGTCAGAGGTCGGAGAATATGGGCAATGTATCTCTGAAAAACGGCTGGACTATTACATAATCCGAACGGACATTTGAGAAATTCGTATTGTCCATCTGGGGTTACGAAGGATGTATATTTAATACTGTTTTTTCCCACAGGGACATGGAAAAATCCATTCTTCAAATCTATGGTGCTGAATATCTTCGCTCCCTGTAAACAATCGAGGACGTCTTCTATTATGGGTAATGGGAAACGATCTTTTATAACATGTCGGTTTAGTTTTCTATAGTCGCAACAAATTCGAGTCCGTCCATCCCTTTTTTTCACCAATACGATAGGACTGGAAAAATCCGACGAACTTGGGCGGATAATGCCCTGTTCCAACCATTCTTCGACTTGCTCCCGAACTATTTTCTTTTCCGGTGGTGCCAATCTCCTTGGTCTTTGGTAAATAGGTTCCTCGTTTTTTAGGACAATGTTCATCTCGATGTTTACGTCCCTGATTTTTTTAGGCTGATAGCCTAGTACTAATTTTCTAATAGTTTTTCGTTTCTCCTCCTCCTCTATGTGTGTGAGATCTAACTCCAAATCTTCCCGATCGTTATCTAAAGAGATCGCCATTAAAAAATTGCTAGTTTCTTTTTTCAATACCGTGACTCCGTCCGTATTTATAATTACGTCTAGCTGGGTCAATATATCACTACCAATTATCGCCCTGAAATTTGAAGCCTGCGTTGGGACAATATATAATTTAAGAAGACAATTTTCATTATTTATTATACCCTCGTGAGTGAATGAGCCTATAGTTCGTACCGTATTATTGCCTAGACCCTTAAGAGGTATTCTTTCTTGGTCTAACGATATTTTCGAAAAATATTGATTATAAACATCTTCCCGCAATGCGCTTATGTCACTTCCTGTGTCAAATAGTGCGATTGTCTCAACCCATCAATAACGAGTCTCACGCTATTTTTAGGAATTGATTCAATAACATTTACGGAATCCGACTTACTTGCGCGTTTAGGACATCTGGCTGACAAATGTCCAAAGTCGTTGCAGTTAAAGCATTTTATCCCCTTACCCTTCTCTGGACACTCCCGAGATTTGTGTCCTTTCTTTCCGCAGTTGTAGCAGACGACACTTCTATTATTTTCTATTTTAGGCTTCTCAGTTTTTTTATTCCGATAGTCTTCATATTTCCATTCCCTTTTTGGCTTTGCTCCTTGACTAGCGTATCCTCCTGCTGTTTTAATCTGATTGTACAGCTTGATTTTCTCTTTAAACTCCGCGAAGTTTGTAGTTCCGTACAAAATAATTTTGTTCGCTGCGTCGTCTGGAATACCATCTATAATATACTGTATTATAACTTCCGCCTCTAAGTTTGCTCTACTTCCGATTTCTCGCATTGCTAACACATACTCCTGGACAGACTCTTCTCGCCCTTTTTTCTTTTGCATTAACAGCTTGTGCACCTGAGCACTACTCGTCTTAATCTCAAACTCCTTTATTAACGCCCTTTTCAGCATAGTCCATGATCTTATTCCCTTTTCCGATTGAATGAACAATTTAGCCATGCCACGTAATGATTTTTTCGCGAAGATTAATTTTTGAAGGTCGTTCCATCCCGTCAAATCAGCTGTTTCTTCAAAATCTTCTATCCACTTTTCTATAGGGTACTCCTCTTTACCATCAAAATATTTTATGGTGTCTTCAACGTCTCTAAAACTAATAGGAAAGAAGTCACCTACATTTCTTCTTGATTCCGTACTATTTCTTTCTAAATTTTCAAGAATTTCTTCATCTCTAACTCCTCTGGGTCTTATATTACCTCCTACAGTATTTCTTTGTCCTGTGTCCTTTCGCGTCGTTACTGTTTCATCAACTTCATTCTCCTCTTCGTCTGTATCTCCCTGGTCATATTTGTCGATATTGAGATCATTCATAAAATCACAAACCCGTGTAATAATTTCATCTACTGTACCCGAATAATTTAAATCTAAAATATTACAAACGGAGATCAAATCAGGTAACTCAACATTTTCTTTAGCATCGTGCACGATCCGTTCGAACTCAGGAGAATCTGGTTCCACATTATACCCCTGAAAATCGCGAAGAGCTTTCCTCTGCTTACGCGGTTCACCCCGATTGCCAAAAGCAATAAAATGCAACGCTTTAATAGCATTTAAGTTACCGCTCTTAAGGTTTGCTTCGATTTTAGGAAAATTTATCAGAGCTCGCGCCTCGTTACTAGCCATTCTTGTACAAAATGAAAGACTGCCCCTTTAAATTGAAAAGTAACAAAAGTATGTGCGAATCAACCTGGCAAAGAAAACAAATAAAAATGAATAACCCTTTTGCTTTATAAAAAAAATCTGTAGTGTATAGTAAAACCGGAGATACTGCTTAATTGTGCTCGAACATTTACTTAACAAATTAAAATATCTACAAGCAGTGTATATAGAATTACAAGATTCATCAATAAGAACATAGTATATCTTACTACGTTTAGCGACAGTAAACAATTATATTTCATTAGCATAAAATGAGTAACCTTTTACTATATTTAATAGCAAATTATATATTTAATACTATATTTAATAACATAGTTAGAATTAAAACTTAACATAAAAAATATCCTTTAGCAAAACTGAATCTAAATTAAAATGTCTTTACCATAAACAAATCATAAAAATCTATTAAAACCGAAACCAAATAAATCAAAGTGTTTTTATCATAAATAGTCCACAAAATACTGTAAACAGATCCTTTAAGTCTTTGAAATACATATTAACATAAAAGTCTAGCATGCATCTTCCCACCTGATAACGGTTCGTAGATAAATACCTCCAACTGTTTGTTTATCCATAAGTTACGTCAGCCGTCCTTCAAGCCATCTGTCGGCGCCAGCCAAGCTACTCAACGGTTCTCGGAATGGTCGATGCGTCGTTGCAAAATCCAAACGCCTCGATATCGCTTCCACTGAGTAAGCACTATACTGTGACTAAGGTTCCTGTGTTGAATCGAACTTTAATATTATGTTTCGACAATATTGGCGCCTTTTTTGTTTTGGATCCCGGACGAGTCCCCAAATTGTAGGCTTTTTTGTGTTGTCTAGGGTGTAAAATAAAGTTTTGCTTACTAAAAGTATTTATTATCGTCACTACAACTGTTCGTCTAGGTAATAATGTTCGTGCACAATAGCAATATCATTCTTACTCGCAAATGTCTCGTGTCTATTGTCGTACTATTAACGTCGTTTATTACTCGATAGCGTCGTTTGTATGATCTCTGATTTCGCACATACCGTCGTCAATGTATGTTATCACATACCGTCGTTTATTTCGTCACTTTGTATGCCGCACATGCACATACCGTACTTTTGTAACCGCTCCCTCTGCTACATCTTATCACGTCGCTGTCTCGTCGTAGAGTTCCTACCATTTGCCTGAACACCCGTTTCCCAGCGCTCGAACAGTGGCGTAACGATAAGTTCTAACTTAAGACTAAAGTAACTAATTCCTACATTTATATAAGAAAATTTTTATTTAAAAATCATTAGTGATTATGAAGACGATTATATTTAAAAAACCATATAATATTAAATACAAATAACGCGGAATATTCGTGACAAGTGATAACTACTAATATTTGAATAATTAGTATAGCAGGAATTTAAAAAAATTGATATCCAGGACAAAAAATGACGGGTTAATCAGCACCACCCTAACTGAAACATGAAAACAAAACTTGGACGATCCACTCTATATTCTTAAAATTAAGTATTTTGTATTTTTACACTTTTTTATTGTCATCAGAATCAAAAAAATGTTTAGTACTTTATTTACTCAAACAACGTACGAACACTGAAAACAAAATCTATTAAAAAAAACTCGCTATCTGGGTACGTGCATACCTTGAAGCATAGAATGTTGGGCATGCATAGGGCCGAACCATGGCTTACCTCGGGACTTCTTGCCAATGGGCTATCACAAATTTCCACTTCCACGTCTGAGAACAAAATATAAAAAAAACGTTGAAGGATTATATCCCGAAGACAAAAAGTTTAATCACGTAAAATGAAAGCGACACCCAATATTAAATTGTCTACAAAGAAACTTGTAGTTACTTATCGATTATCGTTATTTTCATAGTCGCTAACATTTTGTAAGATTAAACTCGATGCTTAGTTTAATACGTTATGTAAAAAAACACGACATACAGTATGTCTTTTTAATTATTTTGATTTGATTGGATAAAAAATAGGTGTACCATTAATATGGAAATATTTTGCTATAATATAATATCAGAAGAGAGAACAAATTCTCTCGACAACACATGTGAAATTTAAAACTGAATTTAGCTTACGTGGAGAAAGATGAATGTCAAATCTCAAATAAATAGTTTTCTATTTTATAATTCCATTGCATGGCATTGGCTTTCTGCTCGGCACCAATTTCTACAATTCGCTTACTTTAACAGTTCCGTTCCGACAAGATTGGCAAATAACAGCTGGCTTTAATTAAAGATTGTCTCAAATCTGTTTCTTTTTGGTTATTATGGTTATTGCTACTTTAAGTGTACTTTTACGTTTTTTTGTAAATAATATTTTCTTTTAATAAACTAATATTTTTTCTTTAACACTTTTATTTAACACTTATAATATGTATAATACCAAACAAAAATATAATACTTTAAAATGATTTGACTATTGGTCAGAATCAACATTCTCATTCTTACAAGAATTACAAACCACCTCAACCGCAGAATACTTCTTGTACGTAAATGACTGTCAATGGCAACACTTCATTGAAGTTGATGATCTTATCAAATTACACGATAACTTGCAATTATTGACGAAAGCTTGGAAGAAGTCACGTATTTGAAGCCAGTTTGTCAACTTTATTTCTTTCGGTTCTCATATTCTTGCTCTCATATGTGTCATTGTGCGTTCCTTAAAGGTATGGGCTGAGTGCAGCATTTGAAACAAAAGTCTTATTCTTTTTATAAAGTCAACCGTTTTCAAAAAAATATATATACAATATATATTAATTTTAATCCATTTGATTAGTGTCCACAGAAAAGCAAATACAGCCGGCAATGTTGCGCTCCAAAAAGGGTGGGTATAATGCACCATTGAAAAGACCAATGTAATTTTTCTTATATATTCTTTTCTAAAGTCATCTGTTGCCTCAAAATAAACATAAATTTCTTTTACTAAAAATTACATTTGGCAACCAGACAGTTTAATTTATTTTGATACAGAGAAGGTACATTATTTGTAAACAGTCGAAATTAGCTCAAGAAAAATCGTATTGTCATGTTTTTGATTCGCGAATATCACGATATGTTAATTACGTACGCTGAAGCTCACCGTGACAGTAATAGGGCAGTTAGGCTTTATGTTGAACGCTATCCCAACGACGACATCCTAATGCCCGAAGTTTTGTGAACGTGTCCCAAAGATTATTAGAGATTGGCTGTGTGGTACCTAAAAAACTAGCGATAGAACACGAAGTAACCGTAGACTAAATGTAGAAGATGTGATTTTGAATATAGTCGGTAATAATCCAAAAGTAAGTACCCGATCTGTGGCTAGAATGGTTGGCATTTTAAAAAACATTGTTCACAAGACATTTATGGAACAACATTACATCATTACCATTGTAGCATTTTCAATTTCATTGATTCTTTGAAGTATATTGAAATCCCCTCGTATATGAAACATATTGAAATCGCCTTATATATGTTTAAAAAATAAAACGAAGAATTTTTTCCGTGTTTGTTAGTTCGTAAGTTCAAGTTAAAATACGCAAAAGTGTTTTCAATAATTGTATTTGCATTGCTAGATGTTAAAATAAACCATTTTAGAGTTGTTTATTATTTTAACTTTTTCGGCAATTTCTTTTAATGTTTTATTCGAAGTCGTCTTATAATTTTTATACGTCGCAAAAGGATATCTACGTCGTTTCGTTTGTGTTTTGGTAATTTCAGCGGTTTGTTTATTTTCAAGTTATATGAACGAATTTTTAAATTCGTCATTCGTACTTTACTTGGGTTGCCGGTGGAGTCAGGTGTGACCAAATAGATTCTTACTTGGTTCGCTGTGTGGATCGCAAGTATGGATCCTCAAATTCTCTGTCGAATTTGTGTTCTTCTGTTTTGGCCCTTTTAGTGGAAATATGTGGCAGTAGAAAAAATAATTTGTGTGGTGTACCAGAGCATGGTACAATTTTGAAGACATATATAGGATGTCCCACCAGCTTTTTTGGTCGTTTGCTTAATCCAACCCCGTCTACGTCAGATCTTCGTTCCAGTATGGAATTGGTTTCCCCTTGTTCCAGAGTTTCGTCCTAGCAGCTCCAATCCAGAGATAGTAACAAGTTTTTTTTTTGGTTAAGTGGAAATATGTGAATCCAGGTAACTGTTTATTGTTTGTTTAATTTCAAAGTAAAGACAGATATTTTTTTAGACAATAATTGCTTTCGTTAAAATTTAGAAATTGTAACATTTAAAAATTGTAATGCGGTAACATTTGTAAGTTTTATGTAGTATCTCCAACTCCTGGAGTTTGTAAGCGGATGACACACGTAAGTTTTTTGTATTTTTGTATTTCTCCATGTTGTAACTGTTTGCGGTAACACAAAAATAAATGTTAAATTTTGTTTTCTTAAAATATTATTTTTTTTTTTTGAACTAACCCTTTTTTGATTTTTATTTGAAAAAGATATTTTTTTGATGTTTTATAATTATTTCCCTAGTTACTTGTGGTTACTACTGGTTGTAATAGGTATAATTAGGCACCTCAAGTGGCGCCCTATATTAAATTCCTTGAGGTGTTTCCTGTTTATTTTTATTTTGTTTATTCCAAGAGATTAATGACCCCTTTATTTCATTTTTTGTAGTTGCACTAAACCAAACCCCTTATCTTTTAGTTATCCACGACCCCAGCTCTCCTACCATACCCTGAGTGCCGTTCGCACAAGTAGCGATTATTTTGCTTGCCTTATCTCCACCCCCAATAGTTTCTTCTCCAAATTTTCTATCCCCTGTATTACTGAACCCTTTGGTAGCAAAATATTTCCGTTACACCATTACCAACGAGTGCAAGATTTACACCAAGGCAATTTACCTTGCAGATTAAGATTTTGTCGATGGTTTCAAAACAAAATCGCCAGAGAACCCAAATTATCATACAAAGTGTTGTGTGCAGATGAAGCCTGTTTTACCAGAAATGATGTGTTTAATTTTCGCAACTGTCACGTGTGGTATGATGAAAAGCCTATCGGTAATCATCTGATTGGACCGTACGAACTTCCTGAAAGGAACCTATTTAAATTTTTTGCAGCGTGCTCTACCGATACTTCTTGAAGACGTTCCGTTACAAATACGCTCTGAAATGTGGTTTCTTCATGACGGGGATCCAACACATTTTACGAGACATATTAAAAATTACCGCGACATCACTTATACTCGTCGTTGGATCGGTAGAAATGAACAAGTTCTGTGGCCACCCAAAACGTCAAAATGCAATGTTATGGACTTTTATTTTTGAGGACACCTAAAATCATTAGTATACGACAACCAGGATGAAATTAAAACATAAGCTCAATTGCAACTGCGAATTTTTGATGCTGCTGAAATAATCCGACATAATTTACATACTTATAATATTAAGAATAGTTGGTTCCTCGAATAAATGCATGTATCTGTGCAAATGGTGGCCACTTCGAACATTTATTGTAATAATAATTTTTCGTGTAAGTAAAAACAGTATTCAATCCTTAATTGCTAAATATTTAATAAACACAAATATGCTTTTTCTCTATCACTGTTATCAGTGTCAATACATATTATGCCTAACGATCGATGATTCATGATAGCTGATTTACAGTAATTAACGAAGGATAACAAGGAACGTAACGTTGCCGGCTGTATTTGCTTATCTGTAAAAAATAATCAAATGAATTAAAATTAATATATTTTTTAAATGGTTGACTTTATAAAAAAATGTTATAAGACTTTTTTGTTTTAAATACTGCAATCAGCCATATCGTTAAGGAACGCACTATTTATGTAGGCATGACTGTATGTTTTTAATGTGCCTCCAGTGTTGTTCCATCGTTTTCGTGGTCTTCCTACTGATCGTCTTCCTATTGGGGAACCGTCTCTTGTCGTCTTTACTACTTTATTTGTTGTCATTCGGCTTATATGATCGTTCTCCAACTTGCATATACGTCGTATATTTGTACTTCTAGTTCTGTCTTATAGTGTCTTACCATAAATTGTTCTGCGTGTTTTTATCTCTGCTGTTTCTAACATCCTTTTTGTCCTCTCTGTGTCAGGTCGTATCTCTGCTGCGTATGCCATTATTGGTCTGTTTTGTAAAAATTCTGCCTTTCATATCTCTCCTCTGTTTGCTCTATTCACTTAATCATCCACTTCAGTTTCGAGCTTTCCGTGGCTAGATAATCTGATGCCTAGATATTTAAAGTGATGCTTAGTAAATTTGCTGTTGTAACCATGAATTTTGTCTTTTTTTGGGGAAATTAACATTTTACATTTTCTGGCGGTTATATTAAATTGGTGCAGCTTACGTTGTAAATCATCTTCACTTCGAGAGAGCAGTATTGCGTCGTCTGTATAGCAGATTATTTTTAGTTGTTTTTCTCCCATGTAGTATCCTTTTGTAGTTCTTACTTTTTGTATTATTTCTTCCCTAATCAAGTTGAACAATAGAGTACTCAGGGAAACTCCCTGTCTTTTCCCATTGCCAGCTTCAATAGGGTCAGTTAGTTCTTCTTCTACTTTTACTATTATTGTGTTGTTTTGGTAGATATTTTCGATCGTTTTATTTATTCCTCTTGCGTAAAATAAGTGGATAACGTCCTTTAATTTGACCCCGTCAAATGCCTTCTTCAGGTCCACGAAACATAGATATGCCGGTTTGTTGTATTCTAATGATTTCTCTTACACTTGCCTCGCTATAAATATAGCGTCGGTGCATGATCTTCCCGACCTAAAACCTTATTGTTCTTTTGCTAGTGTTATAATTTCATTCAGTTTATTTGTTATCATTTGGTTGTTAATTTTAGAGTTGTATTTAATAAATTAATTCTTCTGTAATTTTCTGGGTCCGATTGGTCTCTCCCTTTTTGAAGAGATGTATTAGGATGCTTGATCTCCATTCGTGGGGATTTCTGTTTTCCTCTAGTATTTTTTGGATTAGTTAATTTAATGCATTAACACCTGCATTGTTATATGGGGCAGAAATATGATCACTAAAGGTAAGAACGTTAAACTGCTTTGTAGTGGTTGGAATGGTTGAAGCGATGGATGGAGCATCCTGCCAAAGTTACACTCAGTTAAAACAGTAATAATATAATACCTCATCATCCAGTTGAATATTTTAATATCACCTCAATTATTACAAAAATGTAAAGATAAATACTAAAGTGTCTAGTTAATATTGGTGGCACCTATTTTTTTAAGAAAACAAACCAAAATTTAACATTAAATAAACAACAAATTATTCTTATCATAAATACGAGCAAAAATATGTTAAATTGTCAGCATAACAAGCAATTTTACAGATCACCAACCAAATTGAAGAGTACAGTTTCTACTCTTATTTTTAAATACCTGGTTCGATCTCTATCTCTGCCTTGGGCACCACTTCTATGGTCTCAGGCAACTCATAGGCGTAGAGCTCTGTAGCAGTAGTGGGGTTGATCTTCGCATCGTCGGCGGGAATATTACAAATCTGACTGGAAGCTACTTCGGCTACCAGAAGACTTTGGGGTTTGATGCCACATATGTTGAACAAATGTTCCTTGAGTTCTATATATTTAGCTTCTGATTGAAGGCGCATACCATATTTTACGGGACATTCTCCATTTAAACGCACCACTGTAAAATAACATTATTATATTAAAACATTGATGATGGTATAATATATGGAACAAGCAAAAAATGATACCAATATGATACAAAATCAATTAAAGACAAAGAAGTATAAAACAGGGCTAAACAGGAAGCCCGAACTACAATAAATCACCTAAAAATGAGATGTCACGAAATAGACGGATGTATTGGCGGAAAAAGCTGTACAGAAGCATGGCGATTAATTAACAGAGTTAAATCAACGGTTACTGGAAAAGTATACTTTCCAAATATCTCAGAAAAACAACACTACAAAAACCTATTAACTGAAACAAGACAACAATATATTCATGAAGAAAAATTGGTTGACATTGAAGGATAACAGGTTCAAATAGCCGTAGAAACGGTTATATGGTAATTAGCAAACTAAAAAATCGAAAATCATGTGGACCAGAGGATGTGTAACGTAAAATTATTAAAAATGGCACGAAGAAGCTAATGGCATTTTTAACATAAATCTTTAAGAAATGCCTGGATAGTCAGAAAGTTACTAATCAATGAAAAGTGGCATACATATAGCCCTACTACAAAAAAAGGCCACAAAGAAGACTGTTAGAATTATAGGGTTATATCAGTCACCAGCACAATTAGCAGATTGTATGCAAGGATATTGAGAGATCTAATAGAAGCAGAATTTATAGAAGAAGAGAAAGTCGGATTTAGAGCCGGAAGATCATTTGGAATTCCCATTCGGAATTTTGAACTTGAACTAAAATATATAAAAATGGTGGTTCATAAAAGTAAGTATTAACTTATGCTTGTTTTACTCTATCGAATTATGTAATTTAAATAGTTAGCGCTAGTGTTTAGTTATTTGGATTATAAAGTTTTTCTGATACAGGTTTTACTGCAAAAAGATACCTGATTGGACTAAAAAATATTATTAAAATGATTTGTATTAAAATGAGTTTCTAAAGTATACAGATACATTAAGTCTTTTTATCGTTCCCAAATATGGAAACCATTCCTGCAAAATATGATATACAAAGTGTTGTTCTTGGTATGGAAATATTTTTTATTGTTTTTAATAGACCTGGCCTTTTCTCATTAATACAATAATCGATTTATCGACTTAAAATGAATAAGTCCTTCAAATTGTAGCAGAATGGCGTCTTTTAGAAAATTATTCACTACGCTTCCTAGATTTTATTCTATTTTTACGTCAGTCGTCTGTTATATCCCCTCAATTTAAAATGTTTCCTCTTGTTGATTTGCCATTGGATGCTGAATAAAGCAAACTGGCAAACATTCAACAGGATAGTCAACAACTAACTATGTCAATAAACTGGAAGAAAAAGTCACAGAACTGAAGAAAAACTAACTGTAAAAGCAAGATCTTGAGAAATAAGCAACGACCTAATAAGAGAACTGATACATGAAAAAAATAGGATACGAAAAAGAGCACCTAGAAGTCAGAAGTCAAACTAGCTAAAGGGGGGAGGCGAAAAAAAGCTACAAGAACGTAGAAGCAAATCTTGGGATAAATTGGTTCAACAATTAGATCCAAAGAAGCCGGCTATATGGAAAATCTCAAAAATCGTAAGACATGAAAACAAACCTATTCCACTTTTACACGAGGGAAAGGGGATAGTGTATACAGCAAAAAAATCACCAGAATCAAATGGGGTCACGAACAAGGCAATAAAAATTCTGCACAGGAAAGATCCAAATCTCCAGCATAAATGCGTTCCTCAGACTAATAAGATTTCCTACGAAATGAAAAGAAGCACAAGTGATAACGCTTCGGAAAGCAGGAAAAATGAAACATTCCCCAAAACTACATACCAATCAGTCTAATATCATCAATAAGCAGAGGTTTTAGGGCAAGTAATACTAGGTAGGTTAAAAGAAGCGTCTGAAAGAATAAGTACGATACCAGAAGCACAATTTGGTTTCAGAACTGAACAATCCAGTAAGCTACAAGTGCTACCGAATATATCACAGAGGGATTCAACCAGAAGAAATACACTGTTACTATATTTCTAGACGTCTGTAAGGCATTTGACAATGTGTAGCACAAAGGGCTCGTTCACAAAATAAGATAGCTTGGATACAGCAAGACACGTTCTGTCTAAAGTCGGAATGAATGAGGCTGAAGTGCCGCCAGATGGAGTACTGTCTGTATACCACACATACCGCAGACACACCATGCTTAGTCTATATGCCGATGGCATAGCAATAGCGGCGAGAAATCTGGATCCAAAACCTAGTGAGAAGATGCCTATAACATGCGCTAAATCAGTTGGAAGATTGGTGCATTCAATGGAAAATCGCAGTAAACAGAGAAGTCACAAGTCGTCATGTTCCAAAAAAGATTCGGAAGTCCACACCAGTGGGGATCTTAAACCCACAGATAGAATGGTCCAACCAAGCAAAATACTTGCCTGGAGTACTAATGGACAAAAGATATTCATACACACCACATATCAACAGCGCTGTCACCAAGAGCAATATATGCTAAAAATCTTTTCTTGGAAGAAATAGTAAGTTAAGTCTGAAAACGAAGTTAAGAATGACAAACAGCATCATCATACCAGCCATAACATCTGGATCAATAGCTTGGGGCCAAACCTGTAAAACTGCTAGGAAGAGATTCGAAAAGCCTAATGTCATATTATACTCGTAAGGGACGTTGTGAACATCCCCACATACGTATCCCCAGAGAAACCAAAGAGATAAGTATCCTAGATAAAATTAATGAAAAAGCGTATGGAATCTTCAACCAACTAAGAAACCAACCAAATGAAAGTCTAAGGAACGTGACGAACTGAGAAACCGTCCAAATGAAAGTCTAAGGAACGTGACGAACTACGATGGAAACAGACCGACAATGCACAAAAAACCTAGACACCAACTAGTAGGGTATGAGTTGGCGGCATCCAACTGGACCTGACAGGTGAAGTAGTAAGAATAGGTTAGTTAACAAAATAGGATAGGTAGGTTTAAGAGAAAAAACACATACACGGCATGTGCGGATACTATCACTTGGAAATGCATGCCTCACTCCCTAGGTTAAATACTACTAATCCACACCATTTAATCAACTTTTTTTCTGAGTTATCAAAATCGGAATTTTTGTACATATACCTCAGACAAAGCAGCCGCGATTCCTGAGCATTGAGGCTGTGCACTGTTACGCGTGGTCTTAGACAATTAAAGACTTCCCAACGTTATGTCCGCGATTGGGAAGGGGCGGAGATAGCTTGGGGGGTTAGGGCGTCTTGATCTTCGCACACCTTACTCTAAGAGATGGAATTAACTTTGTTGCGTGTTTATGTCTCTGTGTGGATGCTTTGGTATTTATTAATTGATTAAATATCTTTTTGAATTTTGCACTATGACGTTGTATGAATTCGTCTTTATACTTTTAGTTTTTCTTTTTTCTCTCTGAATAAAGCGATTTTAGCGATTTTCTGTAAGAATTCTTCTTAGTTTGATACGATGTAGTATTAAATAGAAACATAGCATAAAAATACAAATATATTCTTCTTCTTCTAGTGGCGTCTCCTCCACTAATGAAGGTTGGCTGTAACCATTACAAATTCGTCTCTATCTTCTGCTTTTCTTAAGAGCGTCTCTGTGTGTTTAACCCGGTCCAGTTGCGAATATTTTTTAGACAGGATATTTGTCGTCTACCAGGACCTCTTATTCCTTCGATTTTTACCCTTCATAATAAAATATATAGTATTAGAATTATTATTCTGTATCATACGGAATTGTCTATGAGTTTTGTTCAAATAATAACAAAGGCAAATAATTTAAATCTTATGTAAAAAAATTCACTCATTCACCTGAAAAAATTTCAAATTAATAGAAATGTGGTACTGGATACCGATGGTAAACATATTTTTAAGAAAATTATGTAGTAAACACACTAAATATAATAAAAGACTTACCTAAAACTTCACATAGTGTATAGCTTTCCATAGGCAAAGGCAAACTGAGAACGTTGAAAATGTCAAATCGTACTGATTCATGTCCACATGTTTGACATGTCACCTGCAAAAAAAAGATGATTAACCGCTACCTAATAAAGAACTTCTAATAATATACTTTATATTGATTCTGTTCTAAATTTTAAATACACCTGAAATTTTATATTTAATGTGTGACACTAAGAAATGTGAAGAAGTTTCAATCCTTAAGTCTAATTTTGCTAGAACAACAATATAACACAAAAAGGACACATAAACGGAGATAAAAAAGGAAAACTGTATGTAATTTAAAAGCATTAGGAAGAAGAAAGCCATAGGATATATTATAAAAAATAACAAAAATGCGGGTAGGAATAACATTCCAAGTGAAAAAAAAAAAAAATAAATATTGCGGCGAAACAAATTTGAGAACAAGAGAAAGCGCCAGCTAAATGGCGTCAATCTATTACGTGTCCAACATGGAAAAAATACGATAAAACAGAATGTTGTATTATAGAAGCAATGATTGATGTAATATATGAATTCCTCGCAGAGTGATTGGATGCAGATTAAATCATCATCATTTGTACAGCAGCCCTTTATGAACCAAACCGTTCATTAGAACATTCCCACATTCCATCCTATCTCTAGCAACCCTTCTCCATTATTTACGTTGTATGTGTGCGTAGTAAAGGTTTCTCTACAGTTCCAAATATTTTTCCACCAACGACGTCAACCACAGAATTAGTGTCTGTTCCCTTTCAAAAACTATACTGGAATTGACTAAAATAGGCGTCGCATTTCTTATGAACTCTGTTGTGAATGATTCGCATAAAGCTTTTTACAGCGTAACTCATCGTGCTTATCGTTCTAGGGTGCTCACATTTTCTTGCCTTATTTCTTTTGGAGAGGGCTATGTATATACTGTTGCATATTCTTCTAAACCGAATTAACAACAAGTGCGAAGAAATAATTAGTCAAGAGCAGTTCGGGTTCCGGAGATGCCTTGGAACTAGAGAAGCACTATTTTCTATGCAAACACTGCTTCAACGATGTTGGGAGGTAAGGAAAAACGTATATATGTGCTTCATTGATTTTGAAAAGGCATTTGAACGCGTTCGGCAGACCAGACTAATTACCGCCTTGCAGAGCATTTAACTAGATGAGAAAGACATCAAACTTATTGCCAAACTTTACTGGAACCCAACAGCCATTATTAATACCAACAACAGAGAATCAAAGCCAATCAGTATTGAACGAGGCGTAAGACAATGCTGTATACTATCTCCCAACCTCTTTAACGTGTATTCTGAGAATCTATTCGAATATCGATAAAACTAAATACATGGTGACCAAGTGGATATCGGCGCAACCCAACTGATATTAAACCAACAACCTCTGCAGAGAGTTCAGAGATTCAAATACCTTGGATGTTGGATTACCCAAAATCTAGATCCATCCTTCGAAATTCGATGTAGAATTGAACAGGCAAGAAACTCATTTAAAAAATTCAAGCCTCTATTATCCAATAACTCATTAAATTTGGAAATCCGTGAAAAGTTTACAAGATACGTGTGGTCTGTACTTTTGTATGGATGTGAAACTTGGATTTTAAACGCCGATATCATGAATAAAATCGAGGCGTTTGAGATGTGGTTGTATCGAAGGATACTAAAAATTCCATGGACTAGCAGAACCAGAAACGAAGAAGTTCTTCGAAGAATGGGACATCAACGAACTCTATTAAATATTATTAAGAGGCGTAAACTAGAATATCTTGGACATATAATCAGAGGACCAAGATATGAGTTCCTTCGGCTAATTCTCAACGGTAAAATCAAAGGAAATAAATGGATAGGACGGAAGAAACTCTCTTGGTTGAGGAATTTGCGGCTGTGGACAGGTTTGCTACACGTAGCTCAAGACCGAGATCAGTATAACAATATTATAAGCATGGTAATCGCCGACGTTCCGTAGGGATATGGCACTCTAAGAAGAAGATGTATGTGCAAAGTTAGCCAGTCCTCTGAGAGCATTCCTGTTTCATATATTTATGTCATTCAAGAGCTACGTTAATTTGTTAACTGCTGTTTCACTGAGGTGTTTGAAGTGTTCTGCTACTAAAAAGTCTTCTCCAAGAGCTTTCTTGTATTTTGTTTCTTTCATAGCGCGTACAACTTTTACTGTATGGGAAGATTGTCTCCTTTTAATATTGGTTGGCTGTCATCTAGTGTGTTATCTGCAAGTAATTCTAGCAGGTATCTTTCCAAAAATTTGTTTCTGCTTTCGTTATTTTATTCTTTTATTATAGACATTTTTGGGCTTGTGGGCAACCTATTTTATTTTTTAATGCAGTTCTCGATTTTTCTGTTCTTGCTGAAGTAGTACTATCTCTTTGCACCTTTAGTTTAGCCATTGTTCCTTAAACACCCGAATGTGTTTCTCAATTTCCCTGTTGAAGCTTAGATATGCCTGGCGATTTTTGTTTTTTTTTCTTGGTCTCTTTTTTCCATCAATTCCCAACATATTGTCTGTCATCCAGAGTTTTCTTTTTATGGAATTTTGTTTCCCTATTTTGGCTTCTGCTTCTACAGTGTTTCTTTGAGACTTGTCAAAGTGTTCTCGACAGTAGACGAAGGCTACTTGCTTCCTCTGTGGCTTTATTTGCATCTGCTTGTCCTCTTATCTATTTTATTTGTTCATCCGTTGCATTAGTCCATGCTATTTTGTCTTTGGTTTTGCTGTTTGGATTTTCTTTATATTTATTCTCATTGTGACTACAATTGGATTATGGTTAGTTAATGTTACATCCAGGATAGGCTTTTGCCTATTACAATATATTCGATTTCGATTCTTATAATGTGACCTTCCTTATCTTTAGGAGACCTCCACGTGTATAAGCGTCGTTTATGCAGCCTAAACCAAGTGTTGGTAATAACACGGATGTTTTCTTGCCATAACTCAACAAACTTTGTGCCTCTGTTGTTTCTGACGTACAAGATCCCACTGCAGGATCACTACGTTCATAAGGTAGTTAATTAAACTCACATTTTTACATACATATGAAATTAGCAGAATACATTCATAATAGGTTGCCAGTTAAAAAGTGAGCGCAAATATTTTTAATTCAATTTATAGTAGATAATTAATTTTTGAGCAAAACTTTTATTTCGTTAATTTATTTTTTAAATCAAATACGATGCTCATGACATATATGCATGTTTTTTTTTTATTTCAAATTGTTGTTGCCAGCTGTTAACAACGCGATGTATTAAAGATAAAGTAAAATAAGAGTCAGCGCGCAACTACACTGGTTTAACAAGTGATAATATGTATATTATTACATATTTTTTGACACCATGCTATAAACACTCACAACGCAAACATGGCTTCGAATGAACGCAGAGATGTCGCTATTTGGTCCATTCGAAGCTATGTTAGAGTTGCTCCTAAGACAGAAGAGATTTATTTTCAAGTTCAGAGCGACTTTGAATTGCCGTTCTAAAGACGCCTATTAGACCGAAATACGTTTAGCGGATACATAGAAGCACTTTACGTGAATTTTTTTTTTCATATTTGCGGCCCTTTTTAACTGGCAACCTATTATCAATGTAGTATCCTAATTTTTTTATGTATGTAAAAACATGAGTTTGATTAACTACGTTATGAACGTAGTGATCATGCAGTGGGATCTTAAATTATGATGCCACTCCCAATTTCGAGTTCCAGTTTCCCACAAATATGTTGACATCATTGTTGTTCGTGTGTTTGATTGTGGATGAGTATATCGGCGCAAGATTAACGACAAACGGTTGTCTTTTTAGTTTAATCAGCATTAGTAGGGCCCCACCTAGTAAGAAACTTTTAACATATTGGTTCATTTCAGCTGTGAACAGCATTCCAACCTCATTCTGCGCATCAGTATTGTCGCCTGAGTAGTAGAGTACGTTCCACTTATTTGTCATGATGTCGTCTTGCCCCGTCCATCTCACTTCACTCATTCCCAGTATGTTTCATTTCATTCTTCTCATTTCTGCCTCGACATTCGAAAGATCTCCTAATCTATTTAGTGTTTTCACAGTTCATGTGGAAATTCTGATTTTTCTCCCGGGGATTCTTCCTCTGACCACTACCGGTCTGTCGGAAACTGGGAACTATGTTTCTAATTTGACTTGCCATAATGATTTACTTGGAAAAAATTAATGGAATGATTTCTCACTTCTCTATGCTGTGGACCGAATACTGTTGGTTCATCCGCTATCAAAATGTTTCCATTTGAGGAAAAAATGGTGTTCACGGAAGCCGTTCCTGTCCTGGAGAACGCCGCTGCCGGTGTGTTGGTTTTGGTGCACACCGAGTAGTTTATTTCCCCAGTACCACCTATATCTGAAGTCATTCCCCTATCCGCCACCTCGGGATGTGCCCAATGGGGGACTAGCAAGCCCACACGAAAATAACTAGGCCCAAAGAACGCAAAAGATTAATGATTATTAATTATGAATTTTATATACAAAAGAAAAGTAGTAAAGAGGAAAATCTAAAAGCAATACTGTGAAAATTAATAATAAACATACCTTGCTCTTTAATTGTCCATAAAAAAGATCAGTAATGATCGAGTGATCTCTAGACAAATGTTGCTCCCATGCCTCTTCCGCAACGATTTCATCCGGTCTACCGTTACTATCTTTCAGTGCTGTGTACTGTTTAACAGCCACTCTATTTAAATCTTCATGAAGCGTGTCCAGAAGCCAAGCAAGAAGTTCCTAAAAAGTAACGAAATAAAGTATCTTATACGAAGTATACAAATTTAAAACAAACCTGTGAGTCATGTTGTCCACCATCTTGAAAGTACGGCGAATATTTGGTTACTAGGTATCTTAGTTTCAAAGGTGCTACACTTCTGGTTGATCCTGCCCATAATTCTCTACAAAGCTCCGCATAACGTCTGGCAACAGCTCCTTTGGAACCGGATGGGTTTGTAATGTTTAACTCTGACAACTGGTTGTCTCTTCTAAAGTAAAGTGTTAAAGGTCGGGTGTTCGATACAGCTTGAAGAGCTGCGTTCATAAAACAAGTGTTGCCTAAGTTGTGAAGGCCGGTAGCACCTGTAAAAATCATTAAATTATATTATTAAAGTGAGCATTACTAGTTAAAGTGAATGCTTCTTATTGCTTGGTACAATGTTTTTTTGAATCGAATGGAAGCGAATTGAATAATATCCAAGCGAATTGAATCAAATCTGAAATCGAATAAAATAAAATAATACAAAATAAATTAAAAACCATCGCTTCGGGAGTAGAGGATAAGAAACCTGTGCTTCCTGACCTCGGTCGTTCCCAGAGTGCCTCGTCCCGTTTTTTTTTTTAAATCTATTATAATGAAATACAATAATAATAAAAAAATATAAATACAAGATAATGAAAATGTAAATTATGAATAAATTCTATGTAATATTTAAAATTTTTTTAAAATTACTAAAATCATTAAACAAAATTTATTTCTGTTGACTTTTTAAATTTTAAAGAACCTAAATGTGTGGTGTTATTATTAATTGTAATTACCTTCAGGAAGAAAAATAGTAGGTCTTCTTTCAACGCTAAGACCAACTTCATGTCCTCCGCCAGCCACTAACTGTCCTAGTTCTTCGGGCCAAGTTTGATCTTTATTTCTCACTTCAAGTAGTACTTGGTCCGCATCCATAATTCCCAGCTCTTCCAAAGTGGCGTTTTCGTCATCTAGTAGGCTCGCAGCATGCTCCCTAAGCCACCAAAGTCTTGCATCTTCCAATCGTAGGCTCAGACGATGACATAAAAAATCAGTAACTTGTTGAACAGTGGCAAGTCGCGAAAATGCTGCTGTATGAGCAAGATAACGTCTAGTACTAGCATTAACTGTTGATGTCAAGCCTGCAGTACTTAATGCTGCCGCACCATAACTAGAATATAATAAAATAATTGTTTAAGTACACTATTAGGATAATTTAATTCAATCAACACTCACCCTCCCACAACACTACTCCACGAAGCCGTGCTTATTCTTTGTTGAGCAAGATGTCGAAGGATTTTTAAATTTACTGGGTATAATTCTAATTCTACTTCAGTTCGTCCGGGCGGTAAAATAACTTGTCTAGGAAGTGGCACCGGGCCCCCATACCACATCGCTAGTGCTTTCCATAATGATTCAGGCACTAATTCAAAGTCTCTATGTTGTACCAAAGGCGTATCTCGTTTAAGTCTGCCTCCTGAAAACATATACTTGTTAAAAGAAATTTTTAAGGTATAACTGTTATATTTGTTTAAAAATAGTGTATGATAAAACTTACCCTCTCCTGTAAGTGTTTGAACCTTACACATGGGTTCGGCTATTAAACTGGAATTGTCTATGGGTCCTGGTTGGCCTATGCTCCTCTTAGGACCTGTTCCTGAACTGCTAGAGACTCCAGAGCTAGAAGAAATACTGCACCTACAAGATTTTTATGGGACATAAAAAATATGAAAGTGATGACGAGATGAATAAGCTAAAAAATTGATGATATAAACAATGTTAATTTAATAAGACATGATAATTTGCATATTGGGATATATGCACATATATAACGGGAAATAATTCAGAACTTAGAAAAAAATGACTCAATAAATATAATAATAATAGCAATTAACGAGCATCCACTAAAAGAGAAATTGACAGGTCTATATGCGAAATACTTCACAATATATTGAAGAAAAGGATAAGGAATAATGGTAAAACTTAATTACAGGACAGTGGCCACAACTACTCTATTAAATGGATATGAAAGCCAAGTAATCAAACAAAAAAATGATTCTAGAATCTCAGCTAGCAAAATTAGATTTCTCAGAAGAGTGAAAGGTATAGTGAAAGACTTGATAGACAAAATTGAACACTTAACACACAAACTGAATATCTACTCGATCAATAAGAAAATAAAAGAATATAAAACAAAATGGCAGCATACCTCTGCACGATCCACCGCTGCGTATCTCGCGATAAGAAAGCTATGCTTTGAATAATCGATTACCCAAATAAATACTAAATTACAAGCCGAAAGGAAGAGTATATAAGATCACTTGTACATACCCAAAAGTATACATAGGTCAAGGAAAAAATGTTTTAAAAAACGGATAAGGGAACACACAATTAGTTTTGTCAACGGTAAAACCAACTCAATATATAACATAAAATAAACATTTAGGTTCACTCGTACATGTTAGAAGTATCAATTTTACAAATATGGAAATGAATAATCTGATATTGCGAGGTTTATGTTACGAAGTTCAACGATAAGTTAGTTCGGTACACAGAAATACATCTTTGGCTGGGTATTATTACAAATTGTTTTGCACACTAAAATAGTTAAAAATTCTCTTCGGAGAAAGCTGATGTTACAACGAAAAATGTGTGAAGTGAAGACATTCTGTGGACATTAAAAATAGTTTTCTCATGTTTTGTTTGCCCTACTTGTGAAGATAAACTACTGAAAAGTAATCAGAAAAAACTCGATGCAGTTCAAATTAAAAAAGGCAGCCTAACTCACAGACAGGCAACCCTATCCAAAAGCCTCCAACATAACATAGTTATATGTAGGGCCTAAAAGAGACATTTGATCCGGAGGCCTACATTTCTGAAACGTGTATACTGTGGCCGAAGCACAAACTTTTAAAAGGAAAGGTGTTTCAAATGGTGATAAGCTGGAAAATAAAAAAAGGTAAGAAAGAATGAATAAAGATATATGGATGTTCTTCAATGAATATCTAGGATAGGTAAAAAACTGATAACAGATGGGGTTTGTTTAGGAAAAATTTTTTGTAACGCCATCCGTTTTTAAGATAAAGGACGTTGAAGAAAAAAATGTTATTACTGACAACATTGTAATGAAATTTTATACGAGTATGTTTTGGAAGCTGATACATCCCATGAATTAATTTTTATATCTGATTCTCATAGAGGGCACTAGTTACAAGGTTCGTACCAAGTATTATTCAACATAACTTTTTTAAGGGTAGAATTGTAAATACTAAGAACATAAAATAAAATTCAATCAATACTCCAGCTGTTTTATTGTAAAACAAGGTTAAAGGTTTGTCCTGTTGAAAATGTAACCATTGCATGCTCTGTATTTTACTTAGGCTCTACTTGAAGTATGGCGTAAGTGTTTAAGTCTAAAAAAATCGTAATTTTCTACTGTACGGTAAACAACTTTCTACTCGTAGTTACCAGCTCTATCCAATATTGAGGTACATACAGGACCTTTTTGGTTTTTTTTTCTTTTTTAACTCTATCAAACCACAGTCTTGGCCACCCTCATTATAAGAATGACTACTATTGAAAAAGTGATGATCTACAGTTTGAATATTAGTGTTACTGACAATGTAGAGCTAAAATTTGACTGTCAGATGACTCTTATTTTGGCCTCCACAGTTGTCGATAAATGCAGTTATGTGTTTCTCTAAAGTTTCTACAATATTTTCAAATATACTCTCGAAAAAGATCCTATTCTGAGTTTTATTTCTAGCGTACTGGCTGGTGTACCTAGGGAACTTATTAATATGCTCTTTTATGGTCTCAATTGCCCTTTCAGAAATTTTGTTCGGGGTTAATTTCTGTACTCTATTATCTATGCATGACACGCCTGAGGACACTTTTTTGCTTTTAACAATTTGTAACCGTTGGAGACGGAAATGTTAGAGGTTAACATACTTGAAAACCATCCAGTTTATAGACATATGACATCTCTTTGTTGCTAACTGTATTTAGTTTTTTTTCTTTTTATAGGTTCAGTCTGTATGGATCGAGAGATTCCAGTGTCCAATGCTCAATACTCTTTAAAAATTGAAAGTTTGGTCTTATGAAATATTGGTAAAATTTGTTCCTACAATGATGATTTTCTTTAGAGGAGCTATACCACTACCCATCCAAGATGATAACAAACTCAACTAACAGTCTGGCATAGTGGAAAAGGGGTACAAGTGCACTTTTATCTCTTCTCTTTCAAGCCCTACTTATAGTTGGCCCTAGAAAGCAGTGCCTGTTATACTTATCGCTTAAATCTCCTTACCTCCAAATAGAATGAAAGATTTCCAGTTCAGCGATGCAGTTTTCTCAATATTTACAAAAATGTCACTTATACCCCTTTCCTCAATTATTGTTGACTTATCGGCGTAACAATCAGTCAGTTTCCCATGGCAACCTTAGAGAAAATCGAGATATACCTAATAGAACGTTATCATTACTTTACACTAGCATCGGTTAAGAAAATAATTTTTAACGAAGCGTTGGAAGGTCAATGTGGAGTTCGAATCGGGGGAAAAACTATTAACATCAGATATGCAGATGACACCGCAATCATGACAAAAAGTATCAAAGATCTTCAATTCCTTATAGATCGAGTTACTAGAGAATGCTCTAATAACGGACTAAGCATAAATACAACAAAGACAAAGCTACTTGTGGTTAATAAATAAGACCTCGGCGCTATACAACTAATTGTCAATAATGAACCGATAACAAAAGTTAACCATTTTAAATACCTAGGATGTTGGATAAACGAGACACTAAATCCGGATGAAGAAATTAAAACTCGTATAGAAATTGCAAGAGGAGCATTTATGAAACTTGGATCTAGTCTGAGCAATTCTCAGCTGAACTTACAGCTCAGAATTAAGTTGCTAAAATTTTATGTGTATCCTGTGTTACTGTATGGATGTGAAACCTGGATTATGAAGGTTAACATGATGAACAAATTAGAAGCCTTCGAGATGTGGTTATATCGTAGAATGTTCAGAATATCATGGGTTCAACACATTTCAGAGAAGGCTTGAACAGGGTAGGTCAAGGTGAAGGTGACTTAATAAAGATGATAAAAAAGAGAAAACTCGAATATCTGGGGCATATAATGAGAGGAAGCAGATACAGGATAATGCAGTTGATACTCAACGAAGAGATTGACGGAAAAAGATGAATTGGTAGGAAGAAATACCCATGGCTCCGAAACCTTCGTCAATGGACTGGCTTATCAGCAGATGAATTATTACATGCCGCGCAAGATCGAGAATGAAAGCGGCAAATCGTAATGGAAGCTACCCACGCCTAAAACTTGGACACGGTACTCAAAGAAGAAGACGCATCGGTTATTATTTTATAATTTTCAAATCAAAATATTCCAAAAACGCTACACAGTATCGAGTTTTACCAAGAGTATCTTTTTGGTGTAAAATTGTATGATGTTTAAGTTCACTTGGAATTTTGATAAATAACTCTATGTTTAAAAAAATGATGTTAAATAATACGTGGTACGAACCGTGTAACTAGTGTCCTCTATGAGTCACATACAAAAACAAATTCATGGGCTGTATCAGCTTCCAAAATATAATCGTATAAATTTCATTACAATGTTGCCAGTAGTTGTAAAATCGTAAAAAATGTGTAAACATTTTTTTCTTCAATGCGTTTAATTTTGAAATCGGAGGCGTTACAAACATTTTTTTTAAGCAAACCCCAATTATTTTTCAGTTTTTACCTATCCTAGAGACGGTGTTACCTTTTTTGAAACACCTTGTATATAATTCAAATATGAAATATATTTTTAGTTATTCATTTAAATATCAAATCTTACTCACCTGTCACCCCCTCTAGTCAGCAGATCTCCCATAGATTCCATACTATTGGAATTAAAATCGTTAGAAGTAGATGTATAGTCTGTAGTATTGCTAATGAGACTTTCGTCACACGCTATTCCTTCTTCTATCGGTAATCTACTTTCATTACGGCAATTACATATATCTAGATTAGTTCGAGGAGCTGCTGTGTAGTTTATCCATTGATTCCACCAGTCAGATGAAATCAGGTACCAGAACTGACCTACGTGGTAACCTCTACGTTGTTCTCTTTCTAGCCATCCCATGACTAAAAGTTATTACAAAAAAATATTTTATATATATATATATATATATATAATATATATATATATATATATATATATATATATATATATATATATATATATATATATATATATTAGCAACCAATTAAATTATCCAGAATTATAAACTTTTTAATTTCTATACACGTACTTATTTATGTCCGCATCGGTTTACTTCTTCAATAAGAGATAAAGCAAAGAGATTTTAGCAATATTTTAGAGGCTATAACTTTTATACCAGCAGACACCTACTTAATTGGTCCAATTCATTATTCATAGCACTACCTAGGACAACAGCAACAACCTGTTCTGATTATAGAACCATCAGTTTGTTAAGCCATTTATTGAAAATGTTTCTAAAGGTAATACATGGCCGTATATATAATAAATGGAAAAGGTACTAAACTGACACACAGTTTGGTTTCCGTAACGGATTTAGAACGAGAGAGACATTATTTGGGATGAGCGAACTTGCTCAAAGATGTCGTGATATATCTGTAGACAAGAACTGTTGTTTTATTAACTTCCGAAAGGCCTTTGATCGTGTTAAGCACTCTATATTGATTTAAGTTCTAAGGAACCTTGGCTTGGATGGCGGAGACGTAAGCATAATGGCAAATTCGTATTGGAATCAAACAACATCAGTTTTAGTAGACGGTTTGGAATCGCAGACGCATTAAAAGCGAAGTAGGGCAGTGATGCCTCTTGTCGCCCTTGATTTTCAACATTTACTCCGAAAGAATTTTCTGAAATGCACTCTCTAAAAAACAAGAAGAAATAATTGTGAACAGTGAAGTCATCAATAATTTGCTATATGCGGAGGACACAGAACTTATAGCTTCTACTCAAGAAGATCTGCAAAGATTACTTGACAGTGTCAGCTTGAGATGTAAGAAATCAGGTCTGGATCTGAACATACGGAAGACGAAAATACTGGAAATAAGTAAACAATAGAATATAAACTCAGACAAGGATTTGGAACAAGAGAAGCACTTTATAGCTTAACTATCTTATTTCATAAATGCAGAGATCAGCAAAAAGATGTCTTTCTATGCTTTATAGATTACCAGAAAGCGTTCGACTGTGTTAATCATTCAGAATTAGTGAGATTGCTCCAGGAACGTTCAATAGATGAGAATGACCTTAAAATCATAAAGAACCTTTATATGAGCAGTGACATCAGTGAGAGTAGGACTACAATCTACATCATATTTTTCAATCCAAAAAAAAAGGTGTACGACAGGGTTGTGTTCTGTCACCCCTCCTTTTTAATCTTTACTCTGAAACAATTTTCGATAGAGCCTTAAGTGACACTGAAGATGGAATCAAAATCAACGGACAAACTATTAGTAATCTTCGCTATGCTAACGATACAGTCATAATAGCTGATAGCCAAAAAGCGCTACAACGACTAATATATAGAATAAACACTGAAGGAGAACGACTGTGCTTGAAGATTAATATATACAAGACGAAGGTAGTGGTGGTTAGTAGAACACGAATTATGCAGTTAAATATAAGAAACAATAAGAACATACAAAAGGTCCCCAAGTTCAGATATCTCGGTAGTTGGATAACTGAAGATCTAGATCCAGACATAGAGATACGTAGCAGGATTGAGTAAGCCAGAACAGCATTTACTAATATGAGAACCTAACGCAGATCGCTTACCCTGGACCATAAAGGCCAAGGTGATGAACCGAAATGTGGGTATTTAGAAGACTACTTAAAATTCCCTGGACAGATCACACAACAAATGTCGAAGTATTAAATCGAATTGGCAGAGAAGGAGAATTGCTGCCAATAATAAAAAGAAGAAAAACTGCTTATTTGAAGATAAGCAGATAAGATAAGATCTGATAAAGAAATACTCATGACTTAAAAACATAAGGGATTGGACAAACCTTGATGCCCATGTACTCTTTAGAACCACACAAGATCGACAGGAGTATGCCAGAATTGTCGCCAACATCCCTTAATTGGATAGGGCACCATAAGAAGAAGAATATAAAACCGTCTATTATGTAAATAGTACCAAACTTAAAAGTAAAGCGAGTTGATAGGGGAAATAGCAGATAAACGCAGTGCATGAGAAGAAACACTTCATGGTTGAAGAACTTGCGAGATTGGTATGGTATTGATACAAGCATGTTATTTAGGGTGGCAGCGAATAAAATTAAGATAGCTATGATGGTGACCAACATTCTGAAAGGACATGGTACATAAAGAAGAATAAGACGTCTTTAATTCAAATCCGAAATCCGAGAAATTATATCCAACGTAATATTTGTATTGAACTTGTATTGTAGAACGTTTTTATTAAACATAAACTTAGGTAATGTCTACTTTTTAATATAAATGTTATAACTTCGGTAGAATAACAACATAATTCGGTGTAAAGGCCAGAAATTCGAAACAGCTACACCTTAAGTATATGTGGACTGGACAACTAAATGATGTTTTTTTTTTATAAAAAAAATGGCAAATAAAATTAAAAAAAAACAATTTGACTATTATGCTGATACTTTTATGTTTAAAAAAATTAGACTGGCAATAAATTACCAAATATTTAGCATTTGCTATTATCGAATATTGTAGACCTTAAGACTCATTCATAATTGATTTGGAAACGCTTCTCTTAACCACAAATTATCTTAACCAAATATTCGGTTTCTAACTTATATGTATATATATATATATATATATATATATATATATATATATATATATATATATATATATATATAGGTAGTCCAAAATTTTTTTGACTAGTTTGGAAAAAATATGTAAATACTTTTTTCTTTTTGGGTGTGGTAGTCAATAAAAAATATAGCTTTGCTAAGGCGTACTATTTATTCTGAAATCCGAGCTTTCGGTGGTTATTTGCCACCTTTATCAAGGTCTACAATGAAAATTACTGTGTTATAACATTAGGCTGATGTAATATAAAAGTTATAAAAACTTACCAGAAAGTAAGATTCATAGCATATAAAACACAACGTTAAATAACATAATGTGATCTGAATTATTGAAGGCATTAAAAATTTTACAAACTTTAAAATACTTAAAAATTAAAGAACATGTTACAAAGTTTAAAAAGTAAAAAATAAGACGACATGTTTGACAAAAAACAGTGCTTGCACAAAACAACACTTGTGCTTTGGCAGAACACACTATCGATCTAGACCATAAGATAGATTTCAACAATGTTAAAATATTAGCCAGAGAGAAAAATAAATTTAAGAGAACATTCTTAGAAATGGTACATATCAGCAGGAGTGATAACAACAATCTGAATAAAAGATCTGAGATCCAGAATCTTAGCAAAATTTACAATTTTATTTTGACTTTTGACTAGGGTTTTCTGTATCTCAGAGTGCTTCATGTCAGTGGCGGCCGGTCAGGGTCGGCAGGGTCGGCAGTGCCGACCCACATCTTTATAGATATTATAGATTATTTTAATATTTAATTTATTCGGCATTTCAATAAATAATTGTGGCAGGTAATCAGTTGATGTCATTTGTTTTTGAGAACTAAAAAAATATCTGTGAGATAATAAAGGCTAAATTTTATTCATGGTTTTTAAAAGAATTCGTCAAATCTGAGCGTTAAGTGATCCTTGCGTAGACACTTTTTAAATAAATGTTCCGATATCGGAGACATCCATCCGCCTATGAATTCTTAAAATAGCACGTTTTGTTTTTTCGGCTAGCCGATCCCAACCTTGACTTTACTTGTAAAAATCAACGGAATATTGGTTGATTAGCAACCAAATATACATTTCTTTCCATATGAACTTAATTACTAAGTCCGGCAGATTTAAATTTGCCGATGTTTCATTTGGATTGGTGATTGGTCGCGAACTGTACATTGCGAGCGTGGGACGAAATGTTATTTCATTTTTATATAGTAGTAAACTGAAGTTATATTCAGTGCACGAACTAGCCTATCTTTTTGTGATTTATTTTTATTTTCTAAAGTAATACTGTGATACGTTACGTCTGCCGTAAATAGTTAACGGTTAAAGGGTTTTTTGACATATTAGAAGTTTTTTTTTAATAAAGTGTAAACAAATTCAGTGAACACCTAAAAGATGCAAGCCATGGGAGAAACTGTAAGTATTGATAAGTCTGATATTGTAAATTATATTTTGCATAATGGGTTTTCATCAATTCCATAGGAAGAACAAATTGTTATTAAAAATAAGGGGCGTCCTTTGCCTAAAATATCCCGACATAAATATTAGTGCGGGTAAGGGAAGTAATAGATCATTTTCAGATAATTGATACAGCAAGTACTCATGGCTTACTGGGAGTGAAATAAAAAACAAACTTTTTTGTTGGCCTTGCATTTTAGTTTTGACAAACAGGGGCAAACATCAAAATCCGTGGTGTGAATCTGGTTACGATAATTTAAAGGAATTATTTAGGGCTTTACATAAACGTGTTATTTCGAAAGATCATACTTACAGCCAGATTAAATTAGATTTATGTGGAAAACAAAATATCCATGTTTCATTAGATAATGCCCAAAGTGAAAATGCTATTAAACATAACGAAATTGTAAAAAATAATCACGCAGTTTTACGTCGTTTAATTGATATTGTAATTTTTTTAAGTTGTCAGGAATTATCTTTTAGGGGACACGATGAATCGGAGCATTCGTTAAATCAAGGTAATTATAGAGAACTAATAAAAATGTTTAAGAAATACGATTTGGAATTTTCTAATTTACTTTCTGATTCGAAGACTTTTAGCGGTGTATCTAAAACAATCCAGAATGAATTAAAAGAATCAATTAGTTACATTTTGAGTAACATTATTGAATCTGAGATTCAGGAAACCATTTGCTTTTCACTAGAAGTAGATAAAACTACCGACATATCATGTCATTGACAATTGTCAATTGTTGTTAAATACGCGTTACGTGGTAATATCTATGAGAGGTTTTTAGGTTTTACAGACGTGAGTAAAAGCCATAAGGCAGAACATATTTTTGGAGTTTTAAAGGACAAATTAAAATTTTTTGATATCAAAAATAAATTGGTAGGGCAAACTTATAACGGCGTTGCCGTGATGTCTGGTGAATTAAATGGTCTCCAGGCAAAAGTTAAAACTATTGCACCGCAAGCTTTATTTACTCATTGTCATGCGCATAGAATGAATTTAGTTTTGCAAGATACATGTAAAAAAATTAAAGAATGTCTTTTTTTTTGCCAGTTTAAGCGGATTTGCTTCATTTTTCTCAAGCTTGCCTAAACGGACTAATGTTTTAGAACGGTTTGTTTCGAAAAAAATGCCAACAGTTTGTCAGACGCGATGGAATTTTAAATCTCGGTTTATTTTTCAGTGTAGCAGATTTTCGTGAACAGCTTTTGAAAGTTTTTGATTTTATTATTGAATGTGACGATTTTGAAAATGATGATATCTCGATCCATAAAGCAATCGGTTTGAAAACTTTATTAAATGATTACTCTTTTAACATACTTTTAAATATTTTTAAGAAAGTGTTTACCCAAACCGATTTGATATTCAATGTTGTTCAAAATCAGTTAACTGACATTATTCATTCCAAAAATAGAATAACAAGACTGGTGCAAAATCTCAGTCAGATTTTCGTAATGATAGTAATTTCCAGTATATACGCAGTGACGTTTTGGACTCGCTTGATATTTCCGAACCCCCCCAAAAAAGATAAAGGCATGACAAAGAAACAGATCTCGAAAAACGAGTACCTATATTTTGAAATTTTGGATACTATTATTATGCAAATAGATAGTCGTTTTTCGAATTTTGAAGATTTGCAAATTTTTGACCTCTTTGACGATTCAAAATTTAAAAGTTACGCCAAAGAATTTCAGGTTGATTAAAAATTTTCCATCATTCTTTAATAAAATAAAATTACAAAATGAATTAAAAGTTTTATATGCTGATCCAAATATTTTCGGAAGATGGGATAAGTTACAAGATATGTATAATTTTATATATTGCAATTCATTACAACAAACTGTTACCGAAATTAATAAATTATATATTGAAAAATTATAAAGTTCTGGAACAAAAATGGAGATTTGATGAACAAAATGAAACACGTGTTTACTCTATGACTGTAATTTTGCTACTACCCTAAAAAAGGAAAGTGATACATTATTCAACTAGTAAAGTAGCCAATAGATGACACTGCTAGAAAATATTCAAATTTATTTATCTATTAATTACTATTTATAACTGGGAATAAGCCACAATTAAAGATAAAAGTACGTTTATTGACGTTTCAATTTCCAATTCGGAAATCGTTCTCAAAATACAAATAGTAAATTAAACAAATTTTGTTTTTTTGTTACATAGTGAAAAAATTCTTCTAATAATTTAATTTTATCTGACTCATTTATATTGACAATTCAGACATACATTATGCATTTTAAAGTAGACGACTTTAAAATGATATTGCCAATATTGTTGAGTTGCGCTCCTGGGACGACTTTACTTATAAGATAGTTCATTCGATTACATGAAATCAACTTTAACTTGAGAATATCCGTCAGAAAAAATCATAGCATGTAATTCGTCTTTAAAAAGACAAACACATGACATGATGACAGTAAAATTCTCCTGTTAGTGATCAGTTTTATTTAGGTGAATCATCAAGGCCATTAAATGTTAGAATAAGTGAACATCAATCTTATATTAAAAATAGAGAATTTGATAGATCTCAAATATGTAAACACGCATGGGATAATGAACATAGAGTTCAATGGAATAATTCAAATATAGTCCTAAAAGAAACGGATGGTAAAAAAAGAAAAATCAAAGAAGCGGCTCTAATTATGCTAAATGAGGCCAATTGTGTCGCAAATTCCTCGGCAGAATGTAGTAGGATCTGGTTACCAATATTGAAAGAGGAAGTTATTAATAAGAAAATACCAGTATTAGTAAGTCAGTAACATATAGAGGATACATCATTTATGTTTTTTAAATAACGTAACATATAAAATCAGAATTTTGATGTTTGTTGAAGGTAAACTAAATTCACGAACAAATACTTACAATGTCGGGATAGTATTATGAGGTTTTTTTCCTGGTTTTTTCCCTCATAATTTACTATGGAATCACTAACAGGAGAATTTTACTGTCATCATGTCATGTGTTTGTCTTTTTAAAGACGAATTACATGCTATGATTTTTTCTGACGGATATTCTCAAGTTAAAGTTGATTTCATGTAATCGAATGAACTATCTTATAAGTAAAGTCGTCCCAGGAGCGCAACTCAACAATATTGGCAATATCATTTTAAAGTCGTCTACTTTAAAATGCATAATGTATGTCTGAATTGTCAATATAAATGAGTCAGATAAAATTAAATTATTAGAAGAATTTTTTCACTATGTAACAAAAAAACAAAATTTGTTTAATTTACTATTTGTATTTTGAGAACGATTTCCGAATTGGAAATTGAAACGTCAATAAACGTATTTTTATCTTTAATTGTGGCTTATTCCCAGTTATAAATAGTAATTAATTTACAATGCCACAAGAAAATAGCTTCAGAACAATATTATTTATCTATATCCAACATTATTGTCATTAATTCTCTCATTACCACCAACGTCTGCCTCAAATGAACGAGATTTCTCTTGCCTCAAAAAAATCAAAAATTATTGTCGAAATACCATGAAACAAGAGAGAATGTCAAGCTTGTCTCAAATGTCAATAGAAAAAAAAAACTTTTAAAATCTCTTCAAAACTTTAATAAATTTTACGATGACGTTATTACCCATTTTGTTACTTCCAAACAACGTAGACTAGAGTTAATTTATAAACATGTTTAGGTTCTAAATTTAAAGGAAAAAACAAAAAAACAAGAAGACAAAAATCTCCTATGATGATTGAAGTCTTTATTGGACGGTATACCTATCTGTGGAAACAAAAAATACCTTGCCGACCTTGTCTCTCAAGCCACGAGCCGCCACTGCTTCATGTTTCGTAAATTCCATTATTAATTGCTATAATTATCATGATTAACTTCAGTTATTATTCAGATGTTCATTTTGTTTTGGTTGTTTGTTTTTTCAAACCTACTTACTAAATACTATTTTCTTTTTATTTTTTGACATAAAACTTTTTTATATTCCCCTCTCAATTCTAAGTTGGTAACATGGTTGGTAGTACTTAAAATCACAAACGGCATTTTGTTAGACATCAGTTTGAAAGTTTGTTTTTTGTAGTTACATCGAACTATTTAAACAACAATAGTTCCTCCTACTACCTCTTTCTGTTCGTGAGATGTGACTGAATTCAAACCTGCGAAGACGACTGTTTTTTGTCAAACATGTCGTCTTATTTTTTACTTTTTAAACTTTGTAACATGTTCTTTAATTTTTAAGTATTTTAAAGTTTTTAAAATTTTTAATGCCTTCAATAATTCAGATCACATTATGTTATTTAACGTTGTGTTTTATATGCTATGAATCTTACTTTCTGGTAAGTTTTTATAACTTTTATATTACATCAGCCTAATGTTATAACACAGTAATTTTCATTGTAGACCTTGATAAAGGTGGCAAATAACCACCGAAAGCTCGGATTTCAGAATAAATAGTACGCCTTAGCAAAGCTCCCACACCCAAAAAGAAAAAAGTATTTACATATATATATATATATATATATATATATATATATATATATATATATATATATATATATATATATATATATATATATATATATATATATATATATATATATATATATATATATATATAATAAAATTCTTACTAACGTTAAAGAAACATTTTCTTACCAATTTCATATTCGTTATGGCGACAGTGAGGCCTCAGCCCCAGAGATACATGACACACTTGAAATAACAGCTCCAATAAGGGTGCTACCAGACTATTATTCTCTACGCTCCATACCAAGAAATCTTCCTGTGTTAGGCCGCCCTTATCATCCAACTTCGATTGCAGACATGCCAATATTTCCCGATGCATATCTCCATTTCCCACCGCCTCGGACCTTTTCGTTTCACTTAACATAACGTCGGTAAGCAAATCGGGCTTTGGAAGAGGATCGGGTTGGAACTGTTGGAAATAGGTGAGTTTGTTTTCGTTTGCTACTACTATTAGGGTTTGAGTCATGTGTTGAACTTCTTCGGAGTTCAGGTAACAGTCTCGGTCCATGTCGAAGATTTTGAAACAAACTGAAAGAAAAATAGTTATATAGGTAAAATGTAAATTAATGATTAAATTTTAAGAGATTTAAGCGATTTTTTAATTAATTACCCCACATATAGACTTAGTTTACTGTTTGAAAAAGTTATTTAGTTATTACTTAATTATTTTCTTTTTAATATTCTTATTCTCCTATTATAATATGACCTATTTAGGTATAAGGTATTTTATTTAAAAGATACTTTCATATTTTAAAATTTCTCACGCATAAATTGGCTGATTTATATTAGTTCGTATGCGTTATGAGAAATCACTTTCTGTCTAAATCCCCAGACGTTTTCGGGAACTATTAATTTTAAACTTGAAAGCACAAAACGCTTTTAAAAGATCAACTATTTGAAGAATGTATCTTATATATTTCATTTTTTTAAATGGGAATGAATACACTATGTATACAAAAGGCTCGAGTTACAATTTTAAATGCTAATTTATTGCGGTCATCACCATCATACAGTGGGTGACAAATTATTAGAGCCACCAAATAAAATTTTACTTTTATTTTTTTTAAATAGTATGTAATTGAGCTATAAAACATTTTTTTTTAGTTATTTCTATTTTACTGTGTTTTAGAATCTTTACAGTTTACAAATTTAAAAAAAGAAACGAGTAATTACATGAAAACATTTAAAATTATGCCTTAAGCCTAATACTTGATAGTTTCATCCTTTGCAGGAATGACTGCCTGGCACGTTCTTGACATATTTTCTATAAATACCTGGCAATTTTGTGGAATTGTTCCACTCCTGTGCCATTCTGCTATTAAGCGCTCGATAAATTGGCTTTGTAGTTATAATTTTATTAGAAATTTCTTATTCATGAGCTTTTAAAGCTTTTCTATTTAATTTAGATCTGGCGAGTTGTCAGGGCAGTTGTCTGGTTGTCAGGGAGGAATTTTGTAACAGTTTTTGCCTTGTGACCAGACGCCGAGTCATGCATAAACGTGAAACTCTTATTCATAAACCATTTCTGGGTCTGGGAAAGCATTTTTACTTGCAGTACTCTTAAGTACTGGTCCTGTCGTATTGTTCATTCGACAATGTAGAGTCTACCAGTTCCTTGACTGCTTATGATACTACGCCCTGATGTTTAGGGGGTGCTTTACCGTCCTTACAATACAATCAGCTTTATCTTTTTTCCCAGATCTTCCCCCCTACAAAATCAGCTCTATCCATGAGGATCTGCACGGTAGATTTGTCCGAAAAACAAACCTGGAATAAATTTATCAACTGTAAACTAGATAAAAGAAAAACAATCTTAAGCGATGTTATCTACCTCATTCCAATCATCAATGGTCAAATTTTTGTGAACTTTAGCCCACTGAAACCTTTTTTTTCTTCATGGCTGGTGTAAGTAGCAGTTTTTTTGCAGGGCCACAGGATGAAAACCCCAGATCCTTTATTCGCCGATGAGGTGTCATTGGTAAAATACTAATACCAGACTCATGCATCATTTTCGTTTAAAACCTTCAAGGTTTTCAGTGTGCCAAGACTCGTGGTGTTGGTAAGTTTTTCTCGACCACATTTTTGTTTGTGTCGTGGGGAGAAATTCAAATTCTCGTCAAATTTTTTCTTTATACAGTCCACAGTTGCCCTTGAAACTTTAGAAATTGATGCTATTTTTCTGTTTGAGTGATTATTGTTCGATAATAAAGTTTTTATTTTCACTATTTTCCTTGGTGAGATGTTTTTGGCTTCTCCCATGATGTTCTGGTACTACTGGTTCTGGTCATAAAAAATAGTATACGACTGTCAGGATATCACTAGAGAGCAATGGAAACTATGTATTATAACTTTAAACACCAAGAATACAAAAGAATATGCACACGAGTTGCAAGCTAGGCTGGTCAGCACCGACAAACAATGGCATTTGAGTCACGAATTGGCACGCCCGCTGTGGTCAGACTATTTATTGTACTTTCATAAAGTGTTACAAGATAATCAAGTGGAAAAAAAAAACGCATTAATATACTATACAACTCAATTATATAAGATTTTTGTAACAAAAAAAATTGAATTTTGATGAAGTTAAATGTGTCGATAGCAATTTAACTTCATCTTTCCTCACTAGAGGTCTCTAGTAGCATACTCTGGTAATGATTTTTCGTATAAATCCAGGGTAGTCGGTGCATTTGGTTGGAGTCTTTTTATAAACTCTCTCTGATGACGGGTAGACTCAAGATTAACATCTTGACAGATGTGTTGTGACTCATCATTGAGCGTCAGCAGCTCGGACAGTCTGATCAATGATACTTCTCCACTGGTCGAGATCGTCTGTTACATGTACTGCCCCAGAATACCGCTTCTTGAGAAGCTTTTTCTTGCTGTCTGCCCATCATATTGCCGGAATTGTTTTACATTAAAAACATTCTTACACATAACACATTTATAAATGCCAAAATTTAAATACATCCATGAGTAAGGTTAATTTGTGGTTTGATATGTTTATAGTTATTGTACTAAAGGAAGAGTTCGCACAGAGGTAGCAGTATTTTGCGAACAGACACGCACACTCCGGCAATCCTCTTGTGGTTATTGTTTTTGGGACACTTAATATCATGTTTGTATGCAATTAAGACTCAGACAAGGGGATGCTCTGGCTTGCCTCCTATTTAATATTGCCTTAGAAAAGGCAGTCCGAGATACACGATTTAGGGATGGCGGTACTATTTACAATAGATCGATACAAGTCTTAGCATATGCTGATGACATTGACATAGTAGGGCGTAGCAAGCGAGATGTTGAGCAATATCTCCTAGAATTGGAAACAGCGGCGAAACAGGTCGGTCTAGTCATCAACGAAAATAAAACCAAGTACATGTTGGTTACAAAGGATCCGATAGCAAATGAGGAACGAGAAACAGTCTTTGGAAGTCATACCTTTGGACGTGTTGACAACTTCACATACCTTGGGTCGCTATTGACTGCTACCAATAAAACAAGCGAAGAAATCAAAAGACGAATAAATCTTACAAATAGGGCATACTATGGACTCCAAAAGCATTTCCACTCAAGAAACATTCAAAGAAGAATTAAAATTATTATATACAAAACATTGCTGAGGCCGGTCCTCACATATGGAGCAGAAACATGGACTCTAACGCAGAAAGACGAAAGACTTTTGGGAATATTTGAGCGTAAAATTCTCCGCAAAATATTTGGAGCTGTAAACGACCAAGGGCAGTGGCGCAGAAGATATAATTTTGAATTGTATCAGCTCTTTGATGAGCCAGATGTCATAACGTTCATTAAAACACAGCGACTTAGATGGGCTGGACACATAATACGAATGCCAGAAAATACGATTGCTAAAAAGCTAACCACAGGAACACCTGTAGCAAAAAGAAGCAAAGGCCGACCGCGAATTAGGTGGTTATATGGAGTTGAAACCGACTTACGAATATCATAAATCAGAAGATGGCAACATGTTGCCAAAAACCGAACAGAATGGCGACGAATCTTAGAGCAGGCCAAGATCCACAGAGGATTGTCGAGCCAAAGATGATGATGATGTATGCAATTAAGCCGCAATTTATTGTAATTAAAATTACTTTTTAAACTGCTGTTTGACAGCAGTTAAAAATTAAGATTATAAAAAAAATGATGAGTGTTTATAACCGAAAGCTATTTAGCGTTTATTTTTTTTTTGTTTTTCAAACTTGACGGGTGAATAACTTTCGCCTCACTTTGATCTTGTGGACAAATAACCATGCTTTTAGTTGAAAATGCTGAGGGTGGTTTTTTTACCCTCGAGATGATATCAAATTCTTATTATTTTGTGTTTATGTATTATTTGTTTAAGTATTATGACAACGTGCAGTTCTTTGATATTTCTTGTGGGTTATCAGGTTTGGTTTTGAACAAAATATATCTCAGTATATTGGTTGTTTTGAATGTGGTGATCTGAACTTATTTTTTATCGTCCTTAATTTTACTAAGTACTTTACATATGGTGTTCTTGTCATCTTTAAATCCCTTCTTGTGAGCGTTCCTGGATTTCTTGTGGTGTTTTTTGTGAATTCTTTCCTTCAATCTTGCGAAATTCCTTGTTTATAAATGACAATGAGTAATCATTTTTTGGTTGTATATTTTGAATCCTGTTGTTGAATCCTGAATTATGATTGAAACATCTGGAAAAGTAAGTGACTTGTTGTTTTTTTTCCATGGTGAATTTAATTGATTCTTCCTTACTGTTGATATCAGAAATTTATTCGATGCTTCTGGTCCGTGAGACTAAAAGTGTAATTTTCGTTATAATCAATTGTAGCTTAATCCCATACAAACATATATGTAACTTAGACATGCCACAAGAAAACAGTTTCAGAACTTTTTGGGAAACTTGTATGAGTGTATTAATATCTTGTGCATAATTGCATAATGATAAGCTTGGTGTTATTTTCTGTTAAAAATGCTTTAGGATTTATGGTTAATTCCTTGTCAGTAAAAGCTATTATAAAAAAATTGAATTTAATTATACTTACATTTCATTCTCTCGACCATAGGTCCTCTACATGCCGCAGATATACCGCAACATAATTCCTTGAAATCCACATGATCGTCACGGTTTACATCTAATGCCAAAAATAATCTAAAAGAAAATAAAAAATTATGAAGCCGTTATGAAATGTATATAAAAAATGTAGGTATTTATGTAGGTATAATAATATGTAATAACGTAGTTATGCAAAAAATCTTAGCAAAAGAATAGCACTATATGACATAGTGCATGAGAGATATATACTTAATGAATTAATATACGTTAGTATATACGATAATTTACTATCTAATGCCATTTTTTATACCTTAATATTACTAATTAATTCAATAAACTTGTCTTCCGTATTCGAAAATCGTCAACCTCTGAGAACTATGCGGGACTATATGGATTCAGTGTAGAACCCATTTCTGAGCACCTCAGATATTTAGACCTTTTAAGGCAGGTTCATTTTCCACTTAGATCAACAGGGGCTTAGAGTCTGAGCCCAGCCTAATGTCTAAGGCGTTTAGTCCTTTAATAGACTTGTGGTCCCCCAAATATATCCCCTTCGATTACGCCAAAGAAATAAATATTAGACTTACAATCAGCTTACTGAACCTTGTAAGCCCGGTTTTGAACACTAAACTTTGCTCTTCAACGTCAAGTCTCCGGAAAGGTTACTTAAACGATGCTGATACAAGAAAATGTAGAAACTGTAGGCTGTGTTAGAAATTGTAGGAAATTATGATAGGCTCTTGTCTGAGGGCCATCAGCTTTAATGCACATCGACACATAGGAATGTTTTTAAGGAGAGAGTTAGGAAACAACCAGAGATAGGAGAAAAACTATTGACATGATTATTTGTAAAGCTTCTAGTGATGATATATGTAGTAAAGTTTTCATGTAGGACAGTTAATATTACATTTATTAAGTTATTTATTGTGGTATTTTCAGACGATATTAATGTAATAGGAATACGAGATGAAGGATGAAGAAGACTTTCGTCAGGTTCGAGAAGGAAGCAGAGAACATGGGATTCCTAATCAATGAAAACAAAACTAAATGTATGCAGGTGAGCCGCAATAACCGAAACGGAGATAGAATAGTACAGAGCATCACCATCAATGACTTTAACTTTGAGCACGTCAAAGAATTTAAACACCTTGGAACAACTGAAGACAACAACGGATCACAAGAAATAAATAATATAATACAAACCCGCAACTGATGTCTTTATGTCTTTCAAAACTTTATAAAATCGAAACAAATAACAAGGCATACAAAGATACAACTATATAAAACAATCATACGACCCGTAGTGATGTATGATAGCAAAACGTAGACGTTAACAAAGGCAAACGAAGAGCGACTACGTGTCTGAGAAAGAAAAATCGTAAGAACGATCTTTGGGCCTGTGCTTGATGGAGCAGCAGGACAATATACAATTAGCACTAACAAAGAGCTCGAAGAACTATTTTAGAGCATTCAAGTAGAACCGCGGCGAATAAGGTTGTAACATCATTAGAAATATTGGACATGACGATGTAGCATATGTTAATGTGAGTGTAGCCACAGAAAAGCAGTTAAATAAATCGCAAAAGATAGATATGATAGATATGAAAAGACGATATGTTCCTGTAGGTGAATTGCAATGAAACTGTTCGTTTACTTATACATTGCCTATTGCAGGCACAAATATACGTATATGTCAAAAAACTCTATGTTCCATATTAAAATTTACGCCCAGAAGTATCAAAAAATTGCAAGAAAAAAAATTAAGTGTAATGAAACACTGTGTTACCAAAGAAGGAAACATAAAAATAGACCATATGCAACCTCCGATGCAGTAAAAGTAGCTGTACGAAGGCACGTTGAATCTTTTCCTAAAGAAGTGCGCCACTATTCCAGAAATAACACTCAAAAGCTTATTTTTGCAAGCTACGCTATTTTTGAAAGCAAGCTAGGCCACGCAAAATCAAAGATTTTATGTGCCTATGGCATGAAATTATAGCAAAAAGATCTTCAGCTGAAACAATATCCTGCCTACTGAAGTATATTACCACTAAATTTAAGCCCATAGACAAAACAGACAGAAAATTAATTGTTTGGTCAGACGGATGTATAGGACTAAATAATAAGTGGCGAAGTATTCCATTATACCAGTACCTGGTCACTATGAGATATTTTACAACTATAGAGCAAAAGTTTTTAATCAACGGACACAGCTTCTTACCCTGCGATAGGCATTTCGCCCTTATTGAGTATAAAAAAGCATCAGTGTATCATCCAATTGAAGTTATAGCCAATACAAGACCCACCACGCCATTTATTATGTGTTTTCTTGAGAGGACCGATTTTAAAGATTTTATAGTCGAGTCAGCTTTACTGAAAAGCAAGACTAAAATAACTGAGGAGGTTTCGTACAAAATTACCAGTGATGACCCTAGAAATCTATTAAGTCGATTAAGCCAGAACGTATTGCGATCTTGGATTACTTGTCTCTTGGCTAAAAAAAAAGAGGAGTTATAAATCGTTTTTTGCCGCCAGTTGCCATTTCAATTGAAAGTTTTCCTGTGTTGTATAAGAATCCTTTGCCAGTAAAGAAATAAAAAAACAAATTAAAGTGATATCTGTGCCTATATTCCTAACCCAGAAATAGGGAATTTCATTAAACATTGCCTTCAAAAACAAACTAAAACTATTTTTTTTATCTTTATTAATAATGTAGGTTAATATAAATAAATATAGGTGTAGGTGCTCCTTGAAAAATAAATATTATTTTTTAACAAGCAGTTGTATTTGTCTTATTCCCTTACGTTTCTATTCAAAATGTTAAAAGGTTATAACCAACGCATTTTGATGAATTTGAGTGATGTTACAACCTTGTTCCACTAAACTAAGTTTTTATCACAGTTTATAGTCTTATTTTTTTTTGTTTTCCTCATCCAACAATAAAAAGTATATTTTTGATCTTAAATTTGATTACAAGCGAAAAAAAGTTTCCCGCAAAACATGTTTTTGTGAGTTACAACCTTATTCGGGGGGCCCATTCAGTTATAAATTTTAATACATTATTAAATTCAATAAAACTATACTTTATAATTTTTTGTCCCTCCGAATATTTAGTTCTTAGGTATTATACAAGAAATAACATGTAAAAAAATATACAGGTAATTTATTACTATTCAAATATTAATAAAAATGTCTATTACGTAATATAAAGCCTATTTTCAATGTTTTCCATGTATTTATTATTATGTTATGTTATAACACAGAATGTTTGCACAGTAAACAAATCGTTATTTTAACGTTTGCATAATTTTAACAACTTTTTAGAAAGAGAGTCCGAATTGGAAATTCCAACTTTATAAATTGAATTTCATTTAATGGCTACTATATCGAATGTTTAACGGAAATGTATTTATTATGCAAACTATATTTAATTAATACATTTGTTTAAAATGTATTAACGATAAAAATGATTTTCAATAATTATCAACGTATGATGTGTGATAAATTACGAGTATAAAGCAAATTAAATGTTAGGTGGCAATTGTGTGGCAACGAGCTAACATTTACCGTTTTTAATTACCATGTGATTAAAAATATTTCTAAAATTAGACACTGAAACAATAAAAATCAACAGACGAATTAATTATCTGCATCTAACCACATACGTCAAACTAACTGTCAACTAATTGGTAATGTCAAAGCTAACTTAGCATGTTGTTGGGGTTAGCACACAATATAAACACTGTTATAAAGAACTCACTTTTTCTGGGAAAACTAGCAGAAATAGATTATAACCCATAACATGCTAGTTAATTTTGACATCAGCAGCCTATTATCTAATGTGTCTCTGAAAAAAACCTTAAAAATAATAAGAACCAAACTAGAGAAGGACGATACATTGACAACTAAAACAAAAGTGAGCATATCAGGTACACATTAACTTTATATACTTTCAATTAGACAACGATTTTTATAAACAAGATTTTGGATTCACTTGTGCTTCATTATCTCCATTGAAGAGATATTCGCGGACGAATTTGAGAAAAATATTGTGTATAATAATAACCAAAACCTCACAATATGGTGGAGATATGTAGACGCTTTGTTCTCTGCCTTATGGACCAGCAACACTGAACAAATTTTTGATGAACATTAATTGTAAAGAAGAATCAATCAAGTTCACCAATGATACGAAAAACAACTTAACATCTCACCTAAAAAGTTGGGTGTAGCATTTTTTTTGCGAGCCACAGGTTACCAAAAGTTAGTATGTTAAAATTCTCCCAGCTGGAAATTCCTGTATATAACAGTTTTACATATCTAGGTGCTACCTTGGATTCAAAATTAACCTGGAACGAGCATATTAATAATTGCATTACCAAATGTGAAAAAAGCCTTAATATCCTTAAGGCCGTTAATCGATACGATTGGGGAGCAGACTCGAAACTAAACTTATTATTTTACAGAGCATACACCAGATCAATTTTGGACTATGGAAGCTTTTTCTATGGATCAGACCTCACCTGCTCACACCTTTTGGCAGAATGTAATGAACCACCTTTCCATTTAAGACGTCCATATTCTTAAATGTCAGTTTAATAATCAAAACAGCTTATTACAAAAAATAGCTTGTCTCTCTGTTGAAAATCTAACAAACAAATGGTGGGTAAATAAAAACTCTCCAACTCTAGCTGTTGCTTTTCCCAATTTATCCCAATATGCATTCAATGGAGAAGTGATTTTATTCTTTGGTTTCAATTATGACACACTATATGAATATAAAGCTGCTGTAGTAATTCCTTAATATATTTCAATTGTTCACGAAGATTTAGTAGCACAGAACAAGCTGGAAGACTGTAAGCATTTTTGTAAAATTTATACCGATGGCTCAAAATCGCCTCCTGGTGTTGGCTGTGCCATTTACATAGACAATATTCAAGATTATTTTCAGTACAAATTAAAATCAGATTGCTTAATATTCACAGCTGAATTGGTAGCCATTGTCACGGCGTTGGATTGGATAATTAATAGCACATTATATTTCGAACGATATATATATATATATATATATATATATATATATATATATATATATATAT